CCTGCCCTTGTCCACAGTAATCTCAAAAAGTTTGGACAATTTAAAAGTGTTTTGTTGAGTTATTAAATGGGAAACCACGAAAAACGACTACTAGGCTTCGGGGCACAGAGGTCTGGTTGAAGTGAGTTTTGAAGACCACACTTTGTCGTCTTCACAGGACAAAATACGGCATTTTATTACGTAAAAACAAGGTTCATGGAAACCATTCATATGGTTGTACAATTTAGTGAATGCATTTAAGTTGAAATACCATGTATTTGTGAATAATAATAGCCGATGAAAATTCACTAAAATCCGCACCTGAAAGAAAGGCCATATGAGCTCTATTTACCAAACTTTTCACATCGCAGGCATGTGTAAAAAATAAATGGCGCGAATTCCTGTATATATCAAATCTCGTTTCTCTTTGCCTCCTCTATCACGGTGCTCATTTTCCCTTTCAGACGAAAAATATTGATAAAAACTCGGCAACAGGAATTTTGATAGTTGTCTGAAAACTGTATTTGAATCTCCCAGGTTCTGTTTTCCATCTTAAGACTGAAACTCACAAGTTTCCTTGCGCCGTTTCCTTGCAGTGAGATGAAGAGGCAACGAAATGTGTCACATTTCCAGGACAATGTCTTAGAGTACCGTTTTCTTGGCCTCCACCAAAGACTAGGGGGCAAAGTTTCTGTACATGGAATATTATTTATTTCGGTCTTCCAGGATTGAAACCCTCTAAGATCTCAGCATTGTTTTCTTCAAGCCGAAGATCCTCTGTAGATGCAAAACGCCGTGGAACGGTTTTGTACCATGTACGAGGAGCGATAGGCCTAAAACTTTGTAAATGTACTACTTCGAAATATGAAATTACTTCACCGGGGGACATTAATAGTTTGTTTATGCAGCAGGGGTATTATAAGGGTTGATTCTTTTACCTAATTTTAATTATTCAGATTACTTACTTACTAATTAACTTGGTGTTAACTTGACTCAGTTCGTCTTTTAATATTAAAGTCGAAATAATAACACAACGCAGGTATTCGGGCCCCCTTTATAAAAGTCTATAGCAAACACAAATAGTGTAGTATCTCAAATAAAAATATGCGTTAACAAATTCATATTCATTAGTGTATGATCACTACATAGGCAAGCGCAAAACTTTATGCTCGCAATTCTTACAATCGCCAAACCTTCAGCCTGACAAGAGTCCTTCTTTTCCCTGGCCCCGCCCGCATTGCGGGTGTTGCGCGCCAGAACGTGACGCCACTGACAACGCAAATTATGCCACGAGAAAATAGCAGGCGCCCCATCGCCACCCGCAACACACGCATGTGCTGCAATGCATTTTACCAAGTCAAGAGGAGTTGAAAATGTTTTCAAGCTGCCACATTGAGGGCGTAGGTAATCAAAATAATTCTAGAATTATTGCTTACGAGCCATTATAAAAGAATTACAACTAGAAAATTGGTTTCGTGTAATTTAAGGTTCCTCTTGAAGTATTAAATTGCAGTAGCAACTTTCAGCTTAACCGGTCACACAATACTTCGCAGTACACTCTACACTCCACAGCAGAAGAGTCTTCTTAATATAAGTTAGAGTTCTTTCCTGCCGAGCCAAAGTAATAAAAGAAATAGAATCGTTTTATTGACAATTTCTGTGCATACACAAGTACGATAACTTTTGCATTATCTCTAACATGTCGTATCGATATATCATATTGTAATGCAACTATCCGCCAGTATTCATATGAATTCACTCTTCTGATAATTCGGTATCTAAGGTTTACACTGTGAAGGTTCGTGTGTATTTTCAGTCACATCCTGACCGACATCCGGTGTTTCGAAAACTTTTCTTAAGAGGCAATCGCAACCTCCAATGTGTAGGAATACTTCGTACAGTAAAACGGAAAAGGTGGCTCAGGGCAGGATTCTAGTACCTCCGACAGGGACGTCCCACGGTTCGAGTCTCGGAGGTGGAAGGTTTTTTGACACTAGTGACACAGTCTGACACAGGTAACTAGTGGAGGGAGCAGTGCCATCTGCAAATCAGAAACCATCTTTGAGCTCCAGAATTGCTTCCCAACCTTTAAACTATAAATAGTCAAAAGATGAATAAATGTTTTAAAAAAGCGAAGTTATCGACATTTGAAAAACTACATTTTTTCTCCCGAGGTATAGGAAATTTATTTGCATCGTTAAATGAACTTATTTTTTTTGTACTTTCTCGTATGCGTACTTTATTTTAAAAACCTACAAAAAAATAAAACCAAATTATATAATATTAAATACATCCTCATTACTAGATCCAATACTTGTATTCAAAATGATTCACCAAGTAATTGACAACACAAGATTTATATTGCTGAAGAAGAAAAGGATTAGCAAATATCAAGAGAGAGTTTGTTGCGAAAGAGATTTTATTTCAACGGGAAACATATTTACATGTCAGTAAGCTAGAAAAAAATGATAGACTAAGATGTAGATAAGGCATTACTGCATTACATGTTCTTCAGTAGTTATTCTGTCGAGTGTATATTCTCCGACAGATCACTTCGCCTAACTTATTCTAAGCATTATTTGTGCTTTCAGAAACATAAAAAAGCGTGTCTTTTTGCTTTAAAAGCGCTCCGTGTCTTCAACAGCAAAAGTAAAAACCATTCCTGTCGGGGCCGCCTATTTTGTAAATAGGGTAACCAAGGGTGACCGAGTGCAGTTCGCGAACTATTCACCGAAATCGGCAGCACATCTCCCGCGGGTCGAAGGCGGGATGCTGTCGGTCTGTGCAGCCCGCCAATCACCAATCATCCGGGCTCTTTGCTTTGATTCACAAATTATCTGAACTCGACGATCATTCTCCTATTACGCCGTATTGATAATATTCATTTCATTTGCTCATCTAAGTACACTGTAAAAGTGATTATTCCACTTGTATTGTTTGTGATTCATATGTTGACAGGGTACACAATCCAGTAGCAAAGTATTTCTCCACGATCCTTATCAAATAAACGAAGGCTTATCACAGTTTTACGTACCACCCGAGATAGTCTCCGACCCAATGACCACGCGACTCGCCTATGCAAAGTACGGTTTGATAAGATATAAACTCGTTATGGTTTTTGCGCAAAATATGCAAATGCAGATTCTTGATAAATGTTAAACAAAAATAAAGTTACTTCCGTGTATTGAACATACAGTAACATCATTATTACAAAGAAGATAAATCAAATGTGGTCTTGTAAAAAACACAAGAATTTTTCAAGCTTATAGTAGTTTTAAAAAAGTTGGATCTACAACAAAACCTTAGAGAAACTTTCTATGTAAGAAATTTGTTCTTCTTTAAATTCGTAAACTCGACTGCCTTACTGTGTTGGTGGCATGGCGGACACCCCGAGCCCAGTACTCGGAATACGGTGACGCAGGCAGAGTTGGTGTGATCTATCCCGCACACCCTTCTCCTCCACACAAGGCGGCGTCGCTAGCCATTTGATAGCAGTACGCTCTGAGCAAAGCCACAAACGTTTTGATCGAAACGTCAGGTACGACACAGACACAAAGAATTTTTGCTTCTATTATTTTCCGTTGAAGCACGTGAAAAACCACTTAGAGAGATCATATAGCTATTGAACTGTCTATTGGATTTTAGTGTAATAGCGTTAGCTCCGTTTGTCTACGACATCCACATTGGTTGTGAGGTATCTTTGACAACTTCAAACAAAGTTATAGTGATTTCTGTCACTAACAGAAGCTGTGAATCAGAACTTCAATTTCAATTCAAGTTTGCACATCCATTAGTTTAAATGTTAAATATCATTTTTTATAAATTTATGTAGATCCAAAGCACACGAAGATGATTAAAAGAATTGTCGAAACGTTGTTATTGTACAGCTTCAGGCAAATTTGTATAACTGCGTATTGTATGTGAATTTTTAATAAGTTACTTTACTAACTTCCATACATTTCGTATCTTTATTATATTATATTAAAAATCCAATAGGCAGTTTATTTGAGTTTATTTACGAAGTAGGTATGTCGCTGGGAAACATCCTTACATCCGAACATCAGCGACTGGTGAGTTACCGCTGGCTTGCGCGCACTGCTAATAAAACATGTGCGCGGTGGGATGCGACACTTTTCAATGATATTAATAATCAGAACGAAAATAGAAATGGTAGTAGTAATGGGAATACCACTAGTAATGTATAAGGGGCAGATTTTAATGAAATGTAATTTTTTTCTTTTCAATTTAGAACAATGGCTTTTAGTATAGACATTTATTTTATGACAAAACTAAATTACCATTTTTTATAAGGCGTTTTTTGCATTTTTCGTCGATTTCGACCAATAAGTAACTTTTTTTTACCTTTTTCGCTATTTTTTTAAGTATTTTTTGTTTATTTCATCGATTTTAATATTTTAATGGTACTTGCTAGAAATAATATCTACAAGATGCAAGAAATGCTCTTCACAAAGTTACTCAGAAGCCTATTCGATTCTCCACCCATTGATTGATGTAATCTACGGTTCCTGTGACGCCTTCAGCACCATTGTACGTTCGGCCGAATTCGCGATGACTTAAGACCGATTTCTACGTAAAGAACGGACCAAAACAAAAGTTTCCAAGTTGAGTTCATTTGATCGAAAGGGAGAAGCTTCGATTGCAGTAACATATCCAACAGTTTGAGGTATTTATCTGAACTGGTTTCATCAATTTTTCACGTCAATTATCTTTGCTTCAAAGGCCTTTTAAAACCATTTTATAATCACTTTATTGATTTGATGTTTTAAATCATGAAAATCCGTCCCCTAGAAATGTATATTAAATTTTGAAATACTTCTTTGATTTCATATTCCCCGCAATGATTAGCTATCTGTCTATCCCCACCCAAACTTTGACCCCACGCCGCGCCCATGTCGTTCTCGCCGCCATTAGCTACACTCTCTGCTGGCCAGTGCGAGATACTCAAGCAACGCGCCGCCAGGGGAGATACCCGGGCGGAAGCTGCCGATAGGGCACCCAGCCACGAGACCTAGCCGGGAGGCGCGGCAGATGCCGTCGCAACGGGCTGCTGGCTCGACGGTGGCGGTGTGGTCCAATACTCCTCGCTGCCGAAAACCAAGTTCTACTTGAAGAGCCATCGAGGTAACTAGCTCCCTCCTATAATTCTATTTCGAAAATTCCTTTTTATATTTCGGTCAGTACGATCTAAAGTTCGACTTCCAAACCAGAAAGCTTTTTTTATTTAAAAGTTTATGTATATTCTCGGCGTACATGAGAACAATAAGTAAGTCTGTTGACATGATAACTTTGATACTCAACTCATCAGTATCTCTCCTTTAACATAGTCGAGACACGCATATCTAAGTTCAAAATCTGTGAGGCAAATCCAAAGTCTTCAATTTTTAATGTCTTATTTTTAAATTCATATCTAACAAATTTATTGCTAAAGTATTGGTATGGCATTCCAATTTTTAATATATTTACAATTTCTATCAAATCTTCATTAACTGCTGGCATTTTTAAATGACAGTGAATTACATTATTTCGAACATGCCAGGGGGCATTCGAAATATTTCTTAATACTTCGGATTGAAATCTCTGAATGATTTGGATTTACTACTGGTACCCCAAAGGTGGGTACAGTAATTCCAAACTAGCTTTAAGAATGATTTATAAATTAGTAATTTATTGTATAGAGCTGACACTGAGTTTCTACCGACAACTCAATATTTTTTATTTTATAACTGGAGTTCTTTTCGTTCATGTGAATTTCGTATCGCGATAAACAACAAAATATCCAATTGAATATCTTTGTAGTAGGTTAGTTCTGTTCAACTGCACTGGGGGTCAAATTCTACCCATGGTGAAAGTAGTATGACTTGATATGCTTTCATTTGCTCATATTTACCAAGTATTTAGTTTGTTGAGATGTTCCTGAAACAATGTAGAAGCCTCTAGTGGGTCTGTGTCTGAAGCAAGAACTGACGCTAACAGAAGGTTTTTCACCTAAAGAAACAACATTGCATCATCACCAATTTGTACCAAAATAAGCTATTTAATACTTCACATGTAATATTAATAATATCCTCGTATTTTGCATACGGAAACATTTAACATTGTTTTCACTTAAGTGTACATTATAAATTAATAAACGGGGTCAGTGTCAAATTATATTTTGTTGCGGACGAATTTAATGCTAGATTACAAAAGTAACTTTTTTAAATCTCTGGTTTATGGTATGGTAATATTATTAATTTTATTAATAATTAATTAATATTTACTCAATTTAATTAGTCAAATTTAAAGTTCTTAGCTAATTTAATTAATTAATATTGGTTATTAACGTTTGGAAATTTCTATGTTATTGTTATCAACGTCGCATCACTATTACTATGTAGAGAAGTCATATTATAAATACTGTGTAAAGAAGAAGCGCGATTTTTTATTGGTTGATGGAAGATCCCGAGTGCGTCACCTGCTACGTTTCCGTCTGGTTAGTCCCGTAAGTGTAGTGTACGATTTTGCCTCGGGAGGTGGCGCCGATTTTCTCCCGCTATCTGGCGAGATCTGGCGCCGACCTTCGCTAGCGGCGTTCTCCCCAACCAGGTATCTCCCACCACTGGGCTACCCTGCTGGAGAAGGCTCTAGGCTGCCGACTGCTCTCCCGGCATGTGTGGTGGTGTAGTGCATGTGAGTGTAAGTGTGTGCGAGGATAAGACGAGGAAGAGGAAGGAAAGGTCGCGCGCGGTCCGTGTGCAGTTTGTTAGGGTACTGCCCCGGCATTCGCGTCTCGTTGATAAAAAACGCAGTACGATGAGTGCAGCCGGCCGCTGGAATTCTCACACAGTCAGCGACTGAATTTAACCTAGGTAGCGTCGACAATTCTGCCACCGTCGGGGCGCGACACTCGGGCCCGCCGGAGAGCCTTCTCACCCGGAACCTCCCCGCCTCCGAATGAAGAAGGCGCCCCCCCCCCCACCGCGTCGGCCGGCGCGCCTCCCTGCTGCCGAGGGCACCACAGGAAAAAACTGCTTTTTTTATACGAACTTCCGGCCGACACTGGCGAAGTTAGAAAGATGCATTTTTAGGTTTTGTTTTAATTTTTTTATTTGTTTCTACTTTAAATTACTTTTATGCTTTTGAAATAAGTGATTTTTTTCATGAAATTCTTTTAAAACATAGTGTAACACGAGGACCTCGTAAACAGTTTTTGAACTTGTTGATATTATTGAGAATTTAGAAATTCATTTTTCTGTGTTACACTTTAAAACATGGTGTAACACTCAGACCCGTATTACATTCCTCACAAAAGAATCGTAACTCACGACGAATAATAAAATCGAGGTTCATTCCTCTTTCACAGTCACAACGCACTATTGATTGACGTTTGATTCCCAACCTCCTTCGTTTTGAAGGGATATACTGAAAAACAGGCGTCCCTATAACAAAATTAGGCTTTCATCGATGCACAACTTTTCCCGAATGATGAAAATAAGCTCGCAATGCTCCGGCCAACGGCATTTACATCTATTTTCAACAGGCGAATGACGCCGTGTCCTACACTGTTACGTGTGAAGTCAAGCAGTGACGACAGAAACCTATCTCGAGACATTAACGCTTCGAAAATAGACGATGAATATTCGTTTACAGCGAATTTTTTTAAAATTCTCGCCATGAGTAAATACTAACAAGAAAATATACATTTCATCAGAAGACGTATAACTCCATTTTGCAAGTCGCGAATGATATTTTCCAGTGGTTCTCAGTGCGTTCTGATAGAATTTCTTACTTTAATTAACAATGAATGATATTAACGATTTCTTAAAAAACAAGAAATCCAAAATTTAACTTCCTTCATTGAGTCTTGTTTTGTTCCACAAAAGAAGCCTATATTCCTATAGTTATGCATATGAACAAGAACAAACTCTCAACAAGAAATCGTAACACAAAGCAAGGGCGGTACTTCATACCCGAAAACCGTAGAGAAAGTTTTATTATGGTCATTAGAGAAGGGACGCTTTAAGCTGCACGCCAACCCCTCACGGGCGGGGGGGGGGGCGAGGACACTAGTTTGTCAGTTTACAAACATTTCAACTCGCAGAAGGAAGAATTTCCACTTCAGAACTTCCACCGGAGGGTTCAAACTGAACTTCAAATCCTTTCAAAACGAGCAGATATCGCCAACAGCCTTAGAAGAACGCGAAAGACAGCCACGCGAAGTAGACAACACCTACAGGCGTCATTAGCGCAGCAGAAGCGGCTGCGGGCGGACGCTAGAGGCGGCGTGAGCACTCGGGGCACGAAAATCCGGGCGCACATAGGCGCCACTAGCAGCGGAAGTGTAGAGGCAGCGCGCTCCTGGGACTTGGCTGTTGAATGTGATGGACTTGCTTAACATACTGCGGACGACACTGAAAATGCGTTTCCTTCATCAAGGCTTAGAGTAAACACAAATATCGGAGTTAAATACATACTGATTAGTAATCACGTGTAATATAAAGCCATTTGCATAGGCCATTATCGCAGACACGTGATGATGTGAAGTATCCCTACACAAATAGACCGGCGATTACACGTGGTTACTAGGCAGTATGTTCTTAGTTCCGTTATTTGACTTTTAGTGTAAACGTTCATGAAGGAAATAACATTTCTGAAACATTGACCAACAAACCAGATACATCAGTTACAATATTTACGGCCATATACATATTGTAAGAATTGTCTTTTAACAGAACTCGAGATTCTTTCCACCCTTCCATTTTCTACAGAGTGTGTGTACACAGGAGCCGAAGGGCCGAAAATGTAATACAAGGTCCAGATCAGCGTTGTGCCGCGGCGTCAGTTGTTACCCCCTTCGGAAGGTGATTAGTAGGGGGCTGATTTCAATGAAATTGTCTTTTTTCTTTCTTTTCACTTCAGAACGATGCCATTTAGTAAAGAAATTAATTTTATGTCAAGACCAAATGAAATGATCCATTTTATATGTTTTTTATTGCATTTTTGGTCGATTCCTACCAATAAGTAATTTTTTACCTTTTTATTTTCGCTGATTCCATCGATTTTAATACCATTTAAAGAGCACTCGCAACAAACAATATTTACGAGGTGCAACAAATGTTCACCACCTCAGAATTTTTGAGTAGCCTATTCGATTTCTTCGCTCGTGTATTGTAATGTCAACCGTTGTGAGAATTAAATAATGTAAGGTTCAGCTCCATTATCATTTCGGCCGATTTCGCGATAAGTAAAGACAGATTTTCTCTTAAAGGACAGTGCAAAAGAAAGTTTGCGAGCTGCGTTCACTTGAATAAGAAGCAGCCTCGATTACATCAGTAACATACCCAACAGCTGGTGTTGTTCATCTGAAGGGATTTTGTAATTTTTTAATGTAATTTTTCTTTGTTGTGGGGGCATTTTTAAAGCGTTTCATTGATCTTTTAGGTCATAAAAATCCGACCCCTAGTTACTAGTCGGAAGAAAAGTCCCTCGCATCTACGTCACGTGGAGCATTGTGCGCCCAGTAGGGGTCAACGCCCCCTCAATGCAAACCAGGGCAAGTTAAGGCTTCGACATTTTCTGCTAGTAACTGCAGACATTCTGAACCATCCTAATGTGTTTCACTGCGTTATGCACAGCACGGCCTGATATCACGCATGGTTTCTCCCCCCCCCCTCCGCCACGTTTCAGAGCAGGCGGGCGAAGTGCCGAGATCAACAACACGGGGTCACGTTTGGGTCACCCGAGTAATGGAAATTTGGCCAGCAACCATATTAAATGTTTTAGTTGTGACCCTGGTCCAGATCTCGTTTTGTACTAAACACTAAGGAGGTTGTGTGTTGCGACTGTGTAATTACGCTTTCCTTATTTAGACGCGATTTTTTAACAAAACACAAGAGTGACAGTAAACTTCACTCCCTCTTCGTAAAATTTTCTTTATTTTGACGCCTCCTTCGTTAGATGGGTTGGGTGTGACAGTCGCCAACTACTTACATTACAGAAATACAGAGCTCTGTGTAACAAGTTTTAACTTTTGTCTGCCCTTGGGAATGAATTGTGTTTTCCTATTTCTCCGCGACCAGAATGTCCATTAAATTATTATGCTATAAACAGTTGCTTCAGTTAGCCGGGCACTGAATGTGGAATTGGCATATTTTGCATTTCAGTTATGTGATTGTGCTATATACATTTGCATGCTGTGATAACTATTTCCTCTTTCTAGGTACATAAGAACGGCGTCAATAACCTGCTGACATCCATCAGACGTATTTTGAAGTATGTGTGGTAAGTTTTTTTTAAAACCAGAGCGTAAAAGTACAATGTACACACACCTCAGAAAAAGCGTGCGACCTGCCCGGCATATTTTGGAATGTCAGTCGGAGTCCAAGGTCAGGCACGGGCACCTCATTTCACATGCCATGTTGTCTGTGCATCATTAGAAATAGTTTACTCGTGCCCGTAAATGGATAAATGCAAAGGACAAACCGATTCTCCTGAGCACAAAAGCAAATTTTGATAGGTATAATGGTCAATTTCGCAACATGCGGGATATAAGACAGCTGGAAATATCAGCCACTTGTAAAGGGCAAACAGTGTGTTACAGGGTGTTAAAAATTATAAATAATCAATGAAAAATAATTTAACCTCAAAAATCTTCCCCGGGTGTAACAGAAATTTCAAACCTTTGGTTATGCTGTGACATATAAATGGACAATGTTTACGTTCTAAGAATTTACAATTACGAATTGGAACATTTTGAAACTCGTCACTTCCACTGAAAAGTTTCACTTAAGAGAGGATGCCATTAGTATTGAATTAGTTGCCTGCAGCAGTACAAAGGCTGCTGAATGAACTTACACAAAATGGTTTTCCAAAAGGTAGCACACACCACATAAAAACAAGAAATAAATTTCTTTCATATAACACTGCAATAAATTAAGGAGAAGAAAACGTCTTGACGAATACCGCAATAATATAAGTATATTGGTATTACAACAATTACAAACCAAAAATGTTTTTAAAAAGTTGCCGTTTCATATCGCAACATACATACGAAAATATTTCATGTCGTGCGACGTCTTCCTTGGAGCCTTCTGTCGCATGATGACAGCTGTGACGTGAGCAGAGAGGCACTGAGTGCAACAATTCTGTCGATACGCACTGTATGAGAATAGACTGAAAATGCAAATGTTTGATTGTGTTCTTCTGTCAAAATCGAAACTGTTTCATTGGTTTTGAATTTTCCCCTTCTTTGTGCGTATCTAACGAAATCAGAAACCCCCGTCACATGACCGGAAGATGCACAGTGTTCTGACAGTTTCCACGCATTGGAAATCATTGATATAGAGCAATGTGAACACGATAACATACCTTGAGTGGTAAAAGATTCAAAATAAAATTGTTTAAAAGTGCTGTGTTAATTTAGAACATTTCTACAAATGATAAAAATTAAGGGCGATCGCTGGAACTTACCAAACTTGTCAATATCGTAAAAAGATTAATTTTTAATTTAATAATAGTTTTAATAATTTAAAAAGTTTTATTAATATTTATATAATTCACCATTCATTTTCTTTAAGTCACAGATACATTATAAATTTTACTGTACACATTTTTATACACAGATTTATAAAAGATTTGAATTGTTTATTAAATTTGTAGTTCAACTTTCCTTGAAAGGCATCCAATAATTTTAATTGCCACTAGATATTCGTAAAGAAACTAAGGATTCAGTAGACCAAAAGGCTGTCCCACGCTTTTGGGAAATTCAATTATTAGCATTAAATAAAAATTGAAATATTATTCTTTTAGTGTAACATGTTTTTTCAATCCGATATGAACTTCCAAGCAAGTGTACAGTGTTTAAAAGTTCTAAGGTGAACTGAATTGTATTGTGAAAGTTCTAGAAAAACCCTCAATATCACATAGCTGGGTGGGAGATGTGGGATAGCCCCTTGTTCTACTGACTTCAAATATTAGCAGGAAAAATATTATATTCGCACGTTTTCTTGAGCTCCGGAATATCTACCCCTACTCCTTTCCCAACATTAGTTGCACTAAAAATAAATGATAGCAATGAGAGTTGTAGGTAAAATGTGGTGACGAGGAATGTTCGCTAGAACGTGTATTAAAAACTATTTTGCTTGGAAAAATCAACTACAAATTCGACGTAAAATTCCTTTTGCCAAAATAACCAAACTCCCTACTCCTCTCGCCTGTAGCGAAGCGAGGGCTCAAGAAAACGTGTGCGGATAACAGAAATCGTCGCTTTTGGCAGGGCGCCTCGCTCCGCCCCCCTGTTCCGAGGCCAAGGGGCTTTCCCTGCGCGCCGCTGGCTCTGCCCACAGAAAGGGCCCGGACAGACTCGCATCTACAGCCCTTCGGAACCACATGCCTCAAGAGGTAAGTAAATCCAAACATTTCGTATTTCTTTCCTTTTAGGCACAAAAAATAAAATGTAGACGCGATTTGAAATAGTGTGCATCGCTTTTTCTGAGAATAGTTGCAACGGGCGCGAAGTATCTAAGAGTATTGTATATTCATAAATTAAGTATCGCAAATCTGGAGTATTTAGAGAAGTCCTTCTCCTCTGACACCCTAAATAATCACGTAACGCTTGCGACCCCCATTACAAGAAGTAAAAATAAATTTTGTAAGGACATAAAAAGATCATTGATTTTTTTGTTACATATTAAAATTCCCGAAAATTAAAATCAGGATTACTTGGCGATGCTGGATGCACATAACAAAAAAGGCTGGAAACAATTTTTACTTTCTCGCTACGGAGTAGAGAGAAAGTTATATAATGCGCCGCGAAAAAACGGTGAATTTTCGGCAGAAACACACTTTTCGCGGGGCCCTGGTAACGAAATGGTAAATAAATCCAGTTGCTAAATTAAAAAAAATTCTCAAACACGTGGTGTAGCCAGAATCCATGTTTTGTGGGTCCTTGTTATCGAAAAATCGAATGACGGCGAAACGTCTGTCCATCCGTCTGCCTGAACGACGCTGGCGGCTAAAACGTTCAGCTGGTTTCTTCAAAATTCATATTCCCAATCGATCTGGCTGATGTCTCGACTACTCGAATTTGAAACCGATAGTTTTATTTAAGAGGTACTTTACATGAAGCCCCTCAGACACTTTCCATTTTTTTAAAGAAATGGCTGCATCGTTTTTGATTAAATTTTATTGTTGGATAGTGTGAAGGACGTTTAAGAGAATGATGCAGGACTCATATTCGTTGAAAACTCTTATTTTTCGAAAATTGCAATCGTTCAAAAGTTTTTCAGTCCTCCTTCAACTAAAATATTAAAGATAGATATTTTTCCTTAATTATTTTTGTTCCTTAAAGTTCGATTTTCAAATAAAAGTTAAAACTTTTGAAAATGTGAATACTTCTCGCGTAATTTGGCGTGAAAATACTGGCGAGAAATTACGTGCTGTTTTACTCCACTAGTTGAAAATCTGATAACCAGAAATATTCCCTGCTGTGTAATAAAAACTATTTTGCGGCGAAAAACGTGCTACAGATTTGATATAGAAGTCCTGTCGTCCAAATAAGCCCCCCGCCCCCCAACTCTTCTCGGATCTAGCGAAATGAGGACTCAAGAAAACGTGCAGGGATAGTACTATCTCTTCACACTCTTGTATTAATCCCTATCATAGCATCATTTCACTAGTTACGTCCTATAAAGTACTGTAGTGCTGTGGGGGGGAAACTGTAATTTTTCGATTCACTTTCGTATTGTGGGGGCCTAATATCGAAAAAATGGGTAGGTGTTGTTCCCATATGTAGTAAATTACTTCCTGTAACACGAAGTCAGAATTCACGTTTGGTGGAACCTTGAAAGTATCTCTAAGCGCTACTCCTTAACAGGCTTCCTTTCTATGCAGTTTAAATTTAGTATCGTCTTTATTTCATCACTATTGACTTTAATCTTCCTATGCTATGAATTTTGGAAGTGTAAGGGTCAACCAACGTGGAAAGGAAATCCATCCTGATTTCCATTGGTTGATGTTTATCCGAGAAATACTCAGACAGTGCGGCAAGTTCGCAGAAATATTATGTTGGCACACCTTACGTACTGGTATTATTAATTCGGAATCCTGGAAAAACAGAAGGAAAATTAGGAGTAGCCCTCTTTGTTGAACGTCCTGATGAAATTACTCTTCGCAGGCATTTAGGGTCTTTTATTGTGTTGATGTACCTTCGCGTGTAGACGTTCCGAGCCAAGCAGTCTTTCAGACAAGACGAGAGTATGCGCTGGTCGTAACCTTGGTGTGCAGCGAGGAACTCAGGGTATCAACCACATCCGCTCACGAGCATCCGATATGCATCGCAGAGCATGTCCTTTCAGTCCGCGTTGCAAAATAAGTTGAAGAAAGATACTCCTGTACAAGTGACAAGAATATTGTTGTCTCTTTACGTTGTCCCGAATTAATATTAATTATCCTCGGTTCATGTGATCAATTTAATGTATAAAAAACTGTCTTTCTTTCAACTTTAAAATAACTTAAGAATTATCGTTAACTAATAAACGTAGCGCCAAAAATACCATGTCGCTTACGAACAACATTTAATCCAAACTGAATTATTATTTAATATTTATATTGCACACGAGTTCGTGCGTAGGTATTTTTTTCTCGTAGGGAACACGCGGCCGACAGGCCCCGTGTCGCCACATTTCCTACAGAATGAAGTGTCATTTTCACCACTCTTATCAAAAATAACTATTGTGTCGTCGTTTACTCTGTGTGCAGCGCCAAGCCACGCTTCTGCTCCGATCTGAAACATCATGGAGGTGAATCGGAAGTTCAAATTCCAACGCTGCCACGGAAACCAGTGAGCAAGACACATCACTTCACGAAGATACGGCTATCTTCAAAACAAGCACCGAGCGGAATGAAGGCTTTGGCTGCAGCCAACGTTTCTTGGCACAATTTGCAGAAATGACCCATAAAGCTCCCACCACGTACTCAAATAGAACCCTACACACACTATCACTTTCTTTTCTGTATAATCTGTTGCAAATACTGTAACGTTTATTTATGTTTGTTTCATTTGTGAAAGCTAGAAATGACTAGGTCCTACTGTTTCTGGCTATCGAAATAAACGCAGATATGCACCAGACGCTACGTTTAAATTGGTTGAATTGGACGTTTTTCAGTTTATTACCGAGTTTTTATTACAGAATTACTATTACAGAAATTACAATATTACGTAACCATTTCCAATAATGCGAGAAAGTATGTTCTGTTGCAGCACCTCAATTTCACATTGCAACTCACAGAGACGCAGACAATTCCCGGCTTTGCCTTTGTGGAAATGAGCCCTTGCCTCCTCTTGTAGCGATAATTCACGATTGCAAATAGAATGGAGGGAAAATATTTTTGTGTGCATCAAAATACTACTTAAAACGCAAATTCAATCACAACAAAAACCAAAATACAGTTTATTGACAATACGATGTCGCAATAAACGTTTTGTTTATTTACTTCATGTCAGAAACAGTTAACCGTGTGTGCTAACAAACCTATAACTTATCACTTGAGCTCTAGCCGGGAGATCCAAGGGTTCGAGCCCCTACGGTGGCAGTATTTTCGACACTATCGTAGGTCCAGAGTGCATACCAAAGGATTCTGTTCTGATAGCTGGGTCGAGTTCAGCCGCTGTCTGGAGCAGAATTCTAGATGTCCACTGCTCTGATCAGCAGTTTTTCGTGGTTTCTGCGATCAACGCCCGGCGAATGCAGGAGCAGTATCCTAACAAACGGGCCACGATCTTTCCTTTTTCTTCCTTGTCCTATCCTCACCTTACACACACTTACGCTAACATGCACTACACTACCACACGTGTCGGGAGCTTAGAGTTTGTCCGGCTCGGGTGATGCCCCGCTGGTGGAGATACCTGGTTGGGAGAACCCCCTCTAACCGACAGAAGGTCGGCGCCGGATCTCGCCCTCCAGCGGGGGAAGATCACCGCCACCTCCCCAGTCCAAAACATGCATTACACTTACGGGACTAATGACCTTAACAGTTGAAACGACAATCAATCTATATACAAAAATGGCAAAAGAAGTATCTTCAAATCGTCAACAGCATTGATGACAACCGGTTTTCTACTTATACTCATTTCTAAATACAGAAAGGCCATTGTGATTCGCCTTTTGGCAGGTATGGGTATGGTGAGATCACACTTCGGATGTTCCCTTAGGCATTTGTGCTCACCACCGAGCCTCACAAGTGCACTTACTAAAAAGAAACATTGCTTAAAATGCTAATAAAAGAAATATCTCCCGTTCATGTTGAATTGATGATGGGAAACGGAGCAACGGGGGGCCGGATGCATTTTATTTGGGCTTCTCATTGCTTTTTTGAGGGGAATGTAGGAGGTGGTGCGGGCAACATTTCAGCTGGTTTCGCTTTAATTTGATTTCTTATTCTTAGCGGATGAGGTTGGATCGACTGTTTTGTTAGAAGCGCTGCAATTGGAATTTTAGTGGATCTAGTATTCCAGATACGAAAGGGTTGGAAGGTGCTATGATGACTAAAAACTGTTTGTTAGGGCATGACGACAAAGCGGATAAATTGAATACATAGATGAGATATTTATCTTGTATTGAGTTTTGATTCTGTCTCCGGTCTCGGGATTCTGTCTGAAAGGTGTCGTGGAAGGATGGTATTGCGGTTGTAAGGTATTGTCGTTGAATGTGTTGAGATTCTATTTTAACTTATCGACATTGGTATAATTAGTTGTTTCATGTCTACGTAGTTTTCGTCATGTCGCGATCCGAAGATAAGACGTATCACCAGTTTTCAAGTCTTGTCAGCCGTTGGCACTATGTTTAATAGGTTGTTCCTCACATCTCACAAGACACTATTTGTTTTCAAGTTGTAAGGCAATTGTTCGCCTTTTGGTCAATCCTTGTGCGTCTGAAAATGGAGATCAGTGCACTGATTAGTCGATTCACTACGTTCATTCAGTGCACTGATTAGTCGATTCACTACGTTCATTTGTCAGTCAATTTCGTCCACAGACTGCGCTAGTTACACGCGTGCATACAAAGCACGTACACGAGTACTTTGTAAAATTCACGTCAGGTTTATTGATTTTTGTGGGAAGATATGTCATTATCTCTTAGGTGGTTTGACAGCTATGTGTTGACCCTGGCAGGCAGTTGCTCAGACAGCTGTAAGTTTTAATTGAAGTTTTAAGGTCTAGTTCTGTCTCTGCAGAGGACAGGTCATCTGCATATGCACATCTGCATTCAGTGACGCCTTGGGAAGCATCGGCAAGGGTAGGAATTATTGAAATGTTCAATTAGGAGTGAAAAAAGTTTGGAATGTAACATTTTCTTTTTAGTAAAAGTATTTCGTGATTGATGCTAATTAGCATAGTTATTTTCTCAAATGTCTTGGCATCGTCCCCTGTGAGCCGAGCCACTGCCTTCATAGTGGTGCAGATGCACATGAATCACTGGTAGAGCCTAAGTGTCTTCTTTCTAACATTGCTTAGTAGTTATGTCAATCAATGCAGTCTTTCGAGCAGTTTACTGTTGTCGGAAGTACGGGGGTACAGGCGTCTTTTGGACTTTCCTAGATTTAGAGAACTGGTTCAGCCTCTTTTCCCAGAAGAAGACCGACTTGGTGCTCGGAGCGACGTCGCGCGCCTTTCACCAACGATGTCCGGGTTCGATTCTCGTCGAATCTCATGTGAAGCGTCCTAAACCCTACTCTTGAAATAATCCCTTCCCCGGTCTTGCCACTGGATAGTGACGCCGGAGCGCGTACGCGGAGATGCTACCTGGCGGTCCTCTTGCCAACTGACTGCGACGAGACGTGCAGTGACAGATAATGTTAATGGAGGATCCCTCCCACGCGCAAAGCGCTCGACGCCCCCGGGGCTTAGAGAGGCGTTGCGGCAACGAGGGCGCAACAAAAAGGTCGTGAAATGAAATAAGAGTCGAAGTTTAGAAACGGCAGGTAGACTATTGCGTTTTTTGAAGACATGTTTAAGGAATGAAGCACCCAGCGGTCGTCACGTCTTTAAGTATTCTTTGAGTCCAGTTGTCCCTTATGCATTGCCCACTTCAGGTCCATTGCATTTGTTTCCTGGGAAGAAGTGTTGGAATTTTAAGAAAAAAAAAAAAAAGAAGACACCTAGGGAGGGAAGTGGATTTAGTTGATGTGGAGGCGAAGGTTTAAGCTACTGTGTGAGATGTGTAGGACAAGATATTCGATAATTTTATGGTGGGAGTGACAGAAGTCATGGCTATTTCTCATTTAAGCCAAGTTGTGTCCTGTTTTGTTGCTTCGTACGTAGAAGCGATTAGTTATTAATCTCCGTCTCTGTACCGAGTTGGTGCGTTTGTCTTCTGGTCCTCTCCTGTTGCACATGGTTGTGCCGGTCTGTTCGGTTTATTAGAATTAGAATTATTCGAGATCCTTCCTGGTTTTGACGGAGCTTTGTGGATGGTGGTTGGAATATGGTGGTTAAAATGGAATACGGTAGATAACGGATAACGTCGATTATCCGGCACGTTTTGTTGTTTTTAAATAAAATTAATTTTAAGGTGAGTCTATGAGCGTGTACGTCCCGTTTTCCTAAAGTCGATTTTCCCGGAAATTGTTCAATGCTTTCTAGTTAATTTGTTCCTACTTCCAATTTTACACTGCATATGGTAGAGTCAATTATTCTGACTAGGGCTGACATTGATTAGTCCAGATAACCGATGCTCTACTGCATGACTTTGTCAACAGTGTGAGCGGAGAGGTGATTTGTTGCTTTATTTTTAATTGGCTTTATGGACAGTTAGTCTCTGTGCAGGATTAGTTGGGATTGAAAGAAATACAGTTAGATAGAGAGAGAATTTTTTGAAAAGCATGTCAAATGTTTGAAGCCAGTACATAGAATGAGTCGAAACAGTGAAGGGTGTGGTATCAAGTCCAGTAAGGTAAAGTAGTTTATGTAATGAGCAGATTGAGAGAGAAGTCAGAGATTTAGTCGTAGCTTTTTAAAATTGTTTTATTTCCACATGTGTTGTTTCTGCATCTCCAACTGGTCTTTTTTGTGTATAAGTCTTCAGCGATATTACATTAATTGGACTTGACCAGGTTTCTAGTAAGGTATATAATAAAGGTGATGTTTCTTATATAAGAAAAGTTGAGCACTTTCAGTCAGGTATGAGGCAAAAAAATCAATTTTCTTCCTATAACAAGAAGGAGTATTTGATAAATGTGCTGGCCCTTCAAGTAACTTTCCTTTCAGTGGAGGAGTGAATTGATTGAACTAGCAAAACCCTTCCCATGAAATTGAAAATATAAAGTGAAAAGTTGAAACTTAAAACATACTGTTCTTTGTTCACAGTTAATACTATTAATTCTTAGCTTGTTTTTCCTGTTCTCTGTCTATCCTGAGCTCCATACCTCTTCCAAATTTGAAAAGTGTTGTTTCATTATCTATTGTCCTTTAATCAAAATGGGCACTTTAATTTTAAAAACAACTATTTGCACACAACTTAATGAAGTGAATTACTGAATATAAAAGCATTCGTTTCTAACAAAATAAACTGTTATTTAAATATTTTATTTAATTACTTTGGTAAGTATGTCAATACTTGTGAAAGCTTGTAAATTATTCACACTACTTATCAGAATGATGTATTTTGTATAATATAATTTTTCTGTGTTAAAAATGCTTTGAAAATTGAAGAGGCAATACACTATCTCATTACTCTATAATTAGTTCAAAAGTATTAATTTAAACAACAAATTTTTAAATTTTAAGAAAAGGCTATTAATTGTTTTGATTAAAATATTTGAACAAGAACCATCACATAAAATGCCTTTCTCTCTACAAATATTTTTCATAAATAAGAAAGAAACATATTGTGTACCTTTTATGCAACACAAAACACGAGGACCAATTATGTACAAAATTGGAACATCAAAAAACAAAAGCAATGTTTACATTTAAAAGAAAAGGATTTAAAGGAAAATTATTTTTCACTCCTAAAATTGACCTAAATAAGTAAAAATTTATTACAAATTTCTTTTCAACCATAGTTCTAAGTTTTGATTCCACCAAAATTCAAAATGTTAACCATAAACTT